AAACGTCAGCCTTCCTGCTCCTATGATGCTGCTTGGCCTGCTGTGTTCATCCAGCTCTACACCTTGTTACCTTCATCAGAATATTGAACTGTCAGTGGTTTTGTGCCAAGTGGAGGTGGTGGTGGCCAAAGGTGGGTAGGGAGCCACAGGAGGTACAGGTTGAGGATTAACAATAATCCAGCCTGTGATAGTGCTTGGGGGTGGTGGGGCAGGAGAGATAACTTACCAAAAGATTTCATTGGACAGAAGCCAAAGAACAAAGACACAAATGATGTTCCTGATGAGCAAGGCAGCTGGATGGCAGCAATGGGATACCATGTCCACCATACAGAGGGCATTGTCATGGGATCCCCTGTAGGTCTAGCTCTCGCATCCATCATTAGTCACCATGAGAATCATGTCTACATTCGAATGACTCCTAACCTCTTATCCTTGCACACTTCCAAAATAGATATGGCACTTTTTAATAATCAGCTGCATCCAAGAATTTCCTTACCAGCTCAGGAAAGTGCATCCTGTGCTAGAATACTGTTTTGCAAAACAGCTCCCTTTCCTCAATGTGTTAGTGGAAATCTGTCAATGAGGTCTCTACTGAAAACTACTGAAAGCCCACATTCACTGGTCAATATAGGCCTTGGGATTCATATAGTTCCATGTGATACAAGATCAATCTAATTGGTAACTTCATGAAGAGGACCCTAACGATCTGCTCACACTGTGAGCTTGATGCTGAGATAGAACTGAGCGACACCGTAAATGATCTATGCTGTGCAAAATCAAAAGGATCTTATGGCCACTTTTGATTTTGAAAGATGCCCAAACTGACCTGGAAATGGGATGGTCTCTTAAAAATTTGAACAGATGGAGTGTGCTGTAATATGCTGTTACTTTACAGCAAATCCACCAGACACTGCCATCAAGCCAATAGGATGCTCTGCCTACCACCCAAACTGGTAATGTGTAAGGGAGTTTCACTGCCAGTGTGATGACAGGGACAGAGACTGTACATCCAACAACTTGCAGATCACATTAAGCAATATGTTCCCTTTGAGTGTTTGCAGAGTACAGTGTGCTGATTGTGCTCAACCAGCCTGTGCCTGCAAATCTCAGAACAGTATTAGATGTGGTTCTGTTAGTAGGACTACGTTAACAATTACACGAAAAACCAATTTGAGATCAGCAGATGGGCTTACAGTAAGATTCATTCATACACACTGGAAGCTACATTTAGACCATTTGGTCATAAGATATAGGAGCAGAATTAGGCCATTCAGCCCATTCATTCTACTTTGCCATTTAATCATGGTTGATATATGCTTCTCAATCCCATTCTTCTGCCTTCTGCCCGTAACCCTTGATCCCCTTACCAGTTAGGAACCTATTTATCTCTGTGTTAAATACACAGAATGACTTGGCTTCCACAGCCCTCTGTGACAATGAGTTCCACAGAGTCACCACCCTCTGACTGAAGAAATTCCTCCTCATCTCAGTTCTACAGGGTTATCCCTTCACTCAGTCTCTCCTACTAGTGGAAATATCTTCTCCAGGTCCACTCTAGTCAAGCCTCTCAGTATTCTGTAAGTTTTAATCAGATCCCCCTCATCCTTCTAAACGTCAAATACAGATGATGGGTATAAAGACCATTCTGTTGTGCATGAAAGCACTTCTGAATATGAAATGAAGTCAGTTAACACACTGCCCGGATTCAAGTCTCACCTGCTCTAGAGGTGCGTAACAACATTTCTGACCAAAAAACCTTTAACAAAAAAAAATGTTAACCATTCCTTCTACAGCTCAATGCTAACCACAATCCAATCAATCAACACCATCTCTCATACTGTATATATTTTTGCTTCCTGGTCCTCATGAACATATGATGAAAATCCTTCAATTTCACTTCATTTATTAGCAGTGTTTCAAAAATAAACATCAAACGAAGGCAAGAAACACAATCTAAAATTGCTGAACTCAATGCTGAGTCCTGAAGGCTGTATAGTGTCAAATTGAAAGAGGAAGTGCTATTCCAAGCTTGCTTTGGGCTTCACTGGACACTGTAATTTACCAAGGACAGCATCAGTCAGACAGTGATGGCCTAGTGATACTATTATTTAATCCCGAGACCCAGGTAACGTTCTGGGGACCTGGGTTTGAATCACGCTATGGTGGATGGTGGAATTTGAAGTCAACAATAATCTGGAAATAACAGTAAAGACATTGCTGACTCTCAGGGGAAAACCCATCTGGTTTACTAATGTCCTTCAGGAAAGGAATCTGCCATCCTTACCTGGTCTGGCCTACACGTGACTCCAGACCCACAGCAATGTGATTGATTCTTAACTGCCCTCTAGGCAATTTGGACCAATATTTATTGCCTATCCCTATCAGTGACACCCACATCTCTTGAACAATAAGAAAAGAAGTCAGCGTGAAGCCAAGCAAAGACTGTGATGGTCAGCAACAGGAAGCTTGGAGTCTTGCTTGCAGACTGAATGTAGATATTCTATAAAACAAGCATCTAGTATGCTGCCTGAGCTGCTGAGTATTTTCTATCACTTCCTGTTTTATTTCCGATTTCCAGCATCTGCAGCATTTTAGTCTGTGCTGAAATGGAGGAATGGGTTGGGCATTCTTTGGTGGGAGCAGTATAAGACCAGGAGTGGTGGTCCACTCTCCAGGGTTCTGAATGGAAACCCCTCTTTCCCAGTTTGCCTTGCTTTGGGACAGCAGGAATGCCTTCCAAGGAAAGATATAGGTGACCAAGTCTTTATTCTTGACAGTTTAAAAAGAGTGAGGTGATCTCATTGAAGTGCACACAATTCAGACCGAGTTATACAGGGTAGATGCAGGAAGGAAGTTTCTCCTGGATGGGCAGGAGGTCTGGAACCAGAGGATATGGTTTCAGAAAAATGGGCAGGCCATTTATGGCAGAAATGAGGAGTTTCTTCACTCAGCGGGCTTTGAAATTTTCTACGCAGTAGATATGGCTGGAAGTCTTGCCATACCAGCAAAATTTGAGGACAATTATTAAAAACACTTAAAATAAAAGAGCTTGGTAATCTGGCAACTCCTTTGGATGTTGTTAGATTTAAGAAATTATAATAGTTGATTTTTTTCCTTTTAGCAGGCAACAACCAGTGGGGTACTGCAAGGATTAGTGTTTGAACTCCAGCTATTCATAATGTAGATTAATGATTTAGATACAGAATCTACATCTCATATCTCCAAATTTACAGATGATACAAAGCTGGGTGGAAGGGTGAACTGAGGAGGAGGATGCAGAGCTGTTTCAGCATAATTTGGACAAGTAAGTGGGTGAACACATGGCAGATGAACAATATTGTGGATAAATGTGAGGTTATTCATTTTGGGAGCAAAAACAGAAAAGCCAATTATTACCTGGAGGTGATAGATTGGGAGAAGGGGAGGTGCAATGAGAGTGGGATATCCTTGTATACTAATCAGTGAATGTGAGTGTGCAGATGCAGCAGGCGGGGAAGATGATAAATGCTATGTTGGCCTTCACAGTGAGGGAATTCAAGCACAGGAGCAGGGAGGTCTTGCTTCAATTATACAGGGCCTTGGTGAGACCGTGCCTGGAGTATTGTGCGCGGTTTTGGTCTCCTGATCTGAGGAAGGATGGTCTGGCGATGGAGGAAGTGCAGCAAAAGTTTACCAGACTGATTCCTGGGATGGTGGGACTGACGTACAGGGAGAGTCTGGATCAGTTAGGACTATACTCATGAGGGTTTAGAAGAGTTGGGGTTGGGGGTTCTTATAGAAACCTGTAAAATTCTAACAGGACTAGAGAGGGTAGATGCAGAAAGAATGTTCCCATTGACTGGGGAGTCTAGAATCAAGGGTCACAATCCAAGAATAAAGGGGCAAATCATTTAGGACTGAGATGAGGAGAAATTTCTTCATCCAGAGAGTGGTGAGCCTGTGGAATTTTCTGCAGCAGGAAAATGTGCAGGCCGAAACATTTCTGAAGAAGGGTCTAGGCCCGAAACGTCAGCCTTCCTGCTCCTCTGATGCTGCTTGGCCTGCTGTGTTCATCCAGCTTTACACCTTGTTAGGCCAAAACATTGAATGTTTTCAAGGAGTGGGATATAGTTCTTAGGACTAAAGGGCTCAAAGGGTATGGACAGGAAGTGGGAACAAGGTACTGAGTTGGATGATCAGCTATGATCGCATTGAATGGTACAGCGGGCTCAAACAGCTGTATAGCCTCCTCCTGCTTGAGCTCCTG